TTTGTGGGTCTCTCAGTAAACAGTGAATACATAGCCTGTGGTAGTGAAACAAATGAGTGTTGTGTATCAAAGGTCAGGAATCATTCAGTGATCAGTTATTTTTCCATCAAATTTTGAAGTAATTTAGTTGTGCCGGTACTTTTGCAGGCGGTCTCCAAACCTGCAGCTTTCTACAGATTAGTTTTGATATAGAAGATGCTGATAACAATGTGGCACCTATTTCATCAGTGCAATTTGCTGGAAGAGTGATAGCCCAACAATGTTGACTGCAAACAGTAAAGGAACAATAAAAGTACTTGTACTCGCAGCCTAAACGGTAAAATCAAAATCAAAATCAATTAAAATTAGTTTACGATCAAGATAGTAAATTTGTATATGCGATTAAATGTGAAATTGGTTGGTTAGGAAAGTTCTCAGGTTCACTTCTCAGTACCGAATATTTATGTATCAACAATGTAGTTCTCAAGCCTCTATATATGGCGTCTTTATCATTATATAATCGTAAAAGTATAGATTTAGAAAACCCTCTATTAATTTTATGAATGTTATGTTAGGTGCTTACAATTTTTCAAGCTGTTTTGGTCACAAAATAAATTCTAGATGGGTGTTCAAAACCGATTAACCGTTTTCTGAGACCAAACGGTTTTTTCGGTTTATGAAATTTTTTTGAATTGAAACGAACTGTTTAGGGGAAAACCGGTTTTGCACGTTTTCCCCTTAAGGTTAAATTATTATTTTTTTAATTTTTCTTGATTTAAATTGCAAACATTAACAATATATTAAATAAAAATTAAACATTTATACATATGTAATAAGGATTTAGGTTTAGGGATTTTTTTAATATTTTAATTAATATAATATATATTATTATAATATTGTAAAAGGTTAGTAAAATCGGTTTGTATTTTCTCTCAAACCGGTAATTAATCGAAATCGAAGGTAGTTTTTGTCTTTTTTTGAGCACCCCTGTTTCTAGTATGGAATAGCATGAGAAACGCGTAAAGAAATCACGTGTTAACATTCTTTCTGAAATCAAAGCAGTTAAGTGAGGAGACATTTATGATTTATGTCATTCTCAAGCCTTGTATTTGTGTTTATTGTGGTGATTTGGGTTGACAAATGCAGTTCCATCCTTCTTATACCAAACAAGACGGAAGGTAGAAAATTCAAACTCCATTAAGTAACAATAGCATGTGATGCTTCAAAGACGATGAAAAAGGCGTCTGTGTTGTGTATTTGCCGTAAAGTCAGAGGTATTCAATTGTCCAGCATCTTTGAATTTCAACCAAAACGTAAATGATAACAACTACTTGGTAAATTCTTCCCTCCATTATCATGTTTCAACTGCACGATACGTGGAACGAATTAGAAATAATATAGATAGGTATACGATCTCAGTCGATTCGAATTTGAACATTTACGATTTAAGTGGAGAGGTTGTTGACGGTGAGTTATTGTTGATCTTTTTGAGAATTAGTTGAGATGTAGATAAATTAACCCAAAGTTTGATTTAAAAAAAAAAAAAAAAGTTTCCAACTATGGTTATAAGTATCATAAGATACAGATACATATTTTACAATACAAATTGATACGGATCGCTAACGATAAGTATCAGATAGTATATCTTAAGCCTTTCAATATGTTGATATGTATTCTAGATACAATATGTATCTATTAGTATCTTTAAAAAATCGATACGACTTATTAATTTGAGTCGAAAGTTTTTTAGGTCGGATCGAGTCATTCATCCTGGTTCACTAAAACATGTCCAAATACCCATTTTTTATAGAGAAAGTGAAAAAGAAGATGTGTTACCTATTTTGCGTGATAATAATAACACAGTGGAGATATAGATATGAAATAATCTTGGAAATGATATGAATGGTTGAATAGAAAAAATATAGATTCTTAATTTTGTGATTAATTTTGATTATGTGATATTATAATTTAAAACCAATAATATCACAAAATTCGTTAATTAATCATAAGGATGATTTTAATTTTAGAAAAAATTTATTATTTTATTAATTTAAAAAAAAAATCGTATCTATAATAATACAAGATAACTAACAAAAAGAATAATACTACACATATATCATTTTTATACAACATGATGTGGTAAGATATAATTGGGTAAAAGTTTAATTTAACTATTAGCCAATCATATCTTTCCACATATATGTATAGAAAATGTTGTATGAAAAGATGTATTGTAGTATTACTCATACAAAAAAATCAATTTCCATACGGAATCTGACAACCACGTTTCCAATGCCGAAAAGTTCATTTGACTTTGAATAGGATGCAAAGAAAAGTAGCATTATAAAAAGATAAGTCCGGTTAAAGGGACGTGAGCGTCAATCGCGAGTGAATAAATTGTGTGAGGCTTAATGGCCACTAGTTCAGCACCACGTGTTATTAGGTAACTTTTCCGAAATCAAGCAAGACAATTGGGGTTAACTTTCCACGTGTTGTCGAATTATTGGCCTCGCTTCTCACTTTTGCCTTCAGCCTTCAGATCCTGATATCAGCATTTGCGTCTCTATGATTCATCTATATCTCTAATCAAACTTTAAAAAAAAAAAAAAAAAAAAACTTTTTTTATTTACTTTTCGAACCCCGAGATCCCCTCTAGCATTATATTCTCTTTGAACCAGAATTCGAAGATCATAACAAAGAGATTCTTCAAGAGATTTCTGTGGCATAACTCCAAACTCTTGTAATTCAAAATTCTCAATTTCGAATTTTTAAAAGTTTTGGCGCGAAAGATATGAAACTCGATGGATTTGGAGAGGAGAGAGTGCGCAGTAATGGAGTCAGCTCCGACGGAGAATCCAGCGGCTCGGTGGACGGGATAAAAGCGGATGATAAAGACAGGAGGAGGTGTTAGTGCCGCCGTTAAACTTTGCGATGGTTGATAACGGTATTTTCAGGTCTGGCTTTCCGATTCTGCCAATTTCGGCTTCTTAAAGTCCCTAGGGCTCCGTTCAATTATGTGAGTAAAATTTAAATTAAAAAGAATAATGCTTATTGTGTATATGTATTTTTGAAGGTGTATATATAATATTTTTGAAAATTTGTTAGATATTTGTGCCCAGACCTATCCAGATTCGAATATGAGTTTTTGAAGGCGAATGGAATTATACTTTTTCAGTTTGGGATGATGGATGCAAGGTAGGGAGTAGATTTTGGCTATTTTGTTCATTTTGTATAATTAGTTTAATTGAGTGATTGGCGGTATCGAATTGTTAGTTGATCCCCATATTATATGAATTATGCGTGCATATATAACGGTTTTTGTTAATGAGGTGATCATGTTCAAAGTCGCCATATGGATCTCTTTAGTCTGGAGAATACATGTGGTGTGAAGTTGCTATTAACCAAAATGTGTTCTTGAGTCCACCTAGCTACTGAGATTTGTGATATAATTTTGGTAGTTTGATTTTAGGGAGATATTGATATGCCCTTTTCTGAGATTGGTTGTTGGTAGTCATGACTGAGCATCAAATTGCTGCACCAATACAACACTGAATTCATTTTGCGTAATGTCTGGCCTAGCATGTGGATAATTATGTCACAAGAAATATCTCTTAATTCTGGCCTCTATGAGAGTTTCTTTAAACCGTAGAATCTTGTCTTCATTTCCTTGATATTCATTTAAAATGACCAGCTGGCTGATCTGTTGACTTACTCACAGAAGTTGTCCCTCTTACCCCTTTTGCTTCCATAATTGAGGGCATTTGCAAAATCCTTGACTTTTATTAGTACTGTCACTAAGAAGTGAAGAAGTCTAAGCCAATGCTGTGATTAGTATGTAGTCTTTTGATCTGTGTACATCAGGTGATCAATGAATGTTTGAAAGTATTTTCTCTTTTGAATGTTTGTCAGCTTCTGGAAATAGATCTCCATGGGTACACGTTTATAAAATGAATTTGTACCATTTTGGAGGGGCAGAGCTATGCTGTGAAAACATATGAAGAGATTGAATATGCTCGTTAGTTTTTGCAGTATCATGATAAATGACCTTCTTCTATTTGTGACTTGGCATATTGGTGGTGATTATGGTAATACAACCTTATTAAGAAGCATACAAAGTCATACAAAGAGTCAAATCCACCCTTGAAAGAAGGAAAAGAGAGAGAGAAAGAGGCAATCATGAATTCAAGGGTTGGATTTGACCTTTATGATTTTGTATACTTTGTAGGTTGTATTAGTGGTGTTTATTAGAAGCTCCCAATATTATGCCACCGGTTGTTTCTTTCTGCCAGTAGTAATGGATTCTGGTGGAAAATAAGTTGGTTGATTATTAATACATTAGGCATCCAAAATGCCATTTTCTTCAGCACATGTAAGTTTATAACCAATGGAACAGGAGCCTTTTGTAAACATTCCGGAGGAAACAATTCGTGAAGCATTGACAGTACTCTAGTACACTCACTTGACTTCAAGATTACTCATGATTATATTTCTCTCTTTCCAATCGCTATGTATGTTATTGGCACCAGATACAGGAATCACCCTATCCTAATTCATTGCAAACGAGGGAAGGTACTTCAGCTATGCCATGTTCTTTTCACATTATAACTAAAATCAGTAGTTTGAATATTTCCACCAATTAGTTGTGAATGTGTTATGCAGCATCGCACTGGGTGTCTTGTGGGTTGCTTAAGAAAACTGCAAAAATGGTGCTTGACTTCCATTTTGATGAGTACCAGAGGTTTGCTGTGCTAAAGCTAGGCTATCAGACCAGAGGTTCTGGAGTTGTTCGATGTTTCCAGCTTGAAGAACATGCCAATGTCATTTTCTGTTTGAAGAGATAACAAAGATATCGATACGTGAGAGGTTTTTTCTCCACAACACAAGATCGAAGAGATGGGTTTTAGAAATCGTTCTTTGCATAATACAACTGGTTGTTTTATGTCTTTCTCTCATTTAACAAGTTTAAGCTTTGCAGAGAATCTCATTTTTGTTTTTTAGAAAAAAAAAAAAAAAAAGTTTGAATGTGGACGAGCAACAATCGAATCGTCAATCAAGAGAGTGACGACTGAAACGATATCTCCGGCCGTTGACTTTGTTTACCTCACGTTCTCCCAAATGAAGAGACACACAAACTGTCCTCCATTACGATATAGAACTGAGGTTTTGATTTGATCTAAAATTTTTCTTCAGAAAAAGATGAAACCAAATCAAGGAATTTCCATAAAAAACTGCAATACAAAAAAAAAATAAAAAAAAAAAAATACTATAAACGAAACTCAAAGAAAGCCTATTGCAAATTGAAACCACAATTCCACCACCGTGCTGTGCTTTAGAAATTTGGGTTGGGCGGGGAATTTATAAGTTTCCCAGGACAAACCCTAGAGACTTGTAATTTAACGAAGCACCCGCAGTCTGGGCTTTTAATAAGCCCTTAACTTGAAATTGGGCCTCCAACTTTGCCCATTACGTTAATTTAATGAGAGAAGTGACTTTTAGCATTTTTAAAAGAATCAATAATCCCATTATTAAGTATACCTTATTTATATTTTAAATAATAATTCTTTTAAATCTAATTTAATCCATAATTATTTTTTTACATTTAAACAGGTTTTTTTACATCAAGAATATATTTACCGATGTATAGGCTGACTCTCTACTCGACTACAAAGAGGGTGATGTGGTCAGTATGAGTACTCCTCATGTCACACTTACATGGAGTTAGGAGAATCGGTAAGTATAGTATATCCTTTTCTTTAATCTCATTTTCTAATTTTGGATTTAATATCTTTTAGATTATTTTGTTTGAATTCAATTTATAAAGATCCATTGAATATAACGTAGTAATATAGAAGATATATATATATATATATATAATATTTTTTTTTTTTTTTCTTTTCTTTCTTTTCTTTTCAAGTTTCTAAACTCTAGCGTATATAGAGATAATATGTTAAAATTTTAAAAGAATTTAAAAAAGCAGTCAAATAAATAAAAATAGTTTTTATAATATAGAAATCATTTATCTGTCACACGCACGGCAGGAAAATCTGCATTTATATTTAAGAAGATCCTGGTGGCCCCTGCATAAGCTGATGAATACACACATTTTGAAACGTCTTAATCAATGATTGATGAAAATAGTCTACAAATCAGACGGATGAGAATGACTTTGACCTAAAGATTTAGAAAATCCATTAAGGTAGTGGATTTATCTAGGGTTTCCAACTCCCCAAAACCCCATCTTCCATTTCTACTCTCTGAGAGCCCAACTTTTCTCCAAATTCCCATCTTGTCCTTTCATATTCAGCTCTTGAAACTTCACTGGGCATCACCCAATTCTCGATCTTCAAAGTAAAGCTAAAAGTTTTAAGCTTTGTAATTTGTAAGTACGTCCTTTACTCTCTCTATCTCTTTTTTTCTTCCATCTTTTTGTTCATAAAGGTAAAAAAATTTCCTTCAAAACAATTGAAAGATTGTTTGTTTAATCTTATTTTTATTGGATAGAAGGTTATATTGTGAGATATAATTGAGGGGTTGTTTGAGAGAATATAAAGTTTATTGTGTTATATGGGGAAGTCTGGAGGGAGAAGGAAGAAGGGCGGTTCAAACTCAAACCAAGTTTCAGTTGATAATTCAAATGCAAATGCTAACGGTGGTGTTGATTTGGACTCTTCAATATTTTTGAAGAGGGCCCATGAGCTTAAAGAGGAAGGTAACAAGAGGTTTCAAAGTAAGGATTATGTGGGTGCTCTTGAACAATATGATAATGCTCTTAGGCTTACTCCAAAAAACCACCCTGACCGGGCTGTGTTTCATAGCAATAGGGCTGCTTGTTTGATGCAAATGAAACCTATAGATTATGAGACTGTGATTGCTGAGTGTACTATGGCACTTCAGGTTCAGCCTAGGTTTGTTCGAGCTCTTCTTAGGAGGGCTAGGGCTTTGGAGGCCGTAGGGAAGTATGAAATGGCGATGCAGGATGTTCAGGTGTTGTTAGGGGCTGACCCAAATCACCGGGATGCTTTAGAGATTGGTCGACGATTAAGGACTGCATTGGGACCTCGCCAGGAGGCTCAGCAGGACCTCCAGAGCCGCCCATCCCCTGCTGCTCTTGGAGCTTCTGCTGTTCGTGGTGCACCAATTGCTGGCCTTGGGCCTTGTTTACCTGCTCGTCCAGTTGCAAAGAAGGCTGCAGCTTCACCGGCGTCAGTTGTATCTCTTACTAATAAGCTGGAGAAGCCCCAAATCAATTTGGCTACTGAAAATGGTTCTGAGACCAAAGTCCAAATGCCAAAGCTTGTGTTGAAGCCGTCAAATGGTTCTTCAAAAGCTTCTGGCAATCCAGGTAGGGATAGCCATAGAGAGCAGTCTCTATCTTCATCTGTGCAATTGCGTACCCGTGGACAGGCGTTGGAGGCCACAATTAGGTGGAGGCCATTGAAGCTTGTTTATGATCATGACATAAGACTTGCCCAGATGCCAGTGAATTGCAGTTTCAAAGTGTTAAGAGAGATTGTGAGCAAGCGTTTTCCTTCATCGAACTCCGTTTTGGTCAAGTACAAGGATAATGATGGAGACTTGGTAACTATTACCTGTACAGGGGAACTCAGGCTGGCAGAGGCCTCTGTAGACAGTCTTATGACAAAAGAGCCAGAAACTGACATATCTGAATCATTTGGGATGTTGAGATTGCATATTGTGGAGGTAAGTCCAGAGCAAGAGCCACCTTTGCTGGAAGAAGAGGAGGATAAACCTCTAGAGAGTGAGGGAACTAAGGGAGATGAAGGTGGGTCTCATTCGTCTCTTGGTGAGTCTGTTCTTGAAGCTGCTGATACTGAGATTGACAAGGCAGTGATAGAAGCTCCCAAGGAGAAATCAGGAGTTTCAGAAGATCCTGAGAACAAGGAAGTGGAGATGGATGATTGGTTGTTTGAGTTTGCTCAACTGTTCCGCACCCATGTTGGTATTGACCCTGATGCTCATATTGATTTGCATGAGCTTGGCATGGAGCTATGCTCAGAGGCTCTTGAGGAGACAGTTACCAGTGAAGAAGCTCAAAGCCTATTTGACAAGGCTGCCTTAAAGTTTCAGGAGGTGGCTGCTTTGGCTTTCTTCAATTGGGGAAATGTTCATATGTGTGCGGCAAGGAAACGAATCCCCTTAGATGAGTCTGCTGGAAAGGATGTTGTGACAGCACAACTTCAAACGGCTTATGACTGGGTTAAGGAAAAATATTCTTTGGCCAAAGAGAAGTATGAGGAGGCACTTTTGATCAAACCTGACTTTTATGAGGGTCTCCTGGCATTGGGCCAACAGCAATTTGAAATGGCCAAACTTCATTGGTCTTTTGCACTTGCTAAGAAAATCGATCTTTCGGGGTGGGATGCTGCTGAGACACTTCAACTTTTTGATAGTGCAGAGGAGAAGATGAAAGCTGCAACTGAAATGTGGGAGAAGCTAGAGGAGCAGAGAGCCCTTGAGCTAAAAGATCCAAATGCAAGCAAGAAGGATGAATTTTCAAAGAGGAGGAAGAAACAAGGAAGTGGTCCTGATGGAGAGCCCTCAGGAAGCGGTGGTCAGAACGAGCTTTCAGCTGATGAAGCTGCAGAACAAGCTGCTGTTATGAGATCACAGATACACCTTTTCTGGGGTAACATGCTTTTTGAACGATCCCAAGTTGAATGCAAATTAGGGATGGGTGGTTGGAAGAAAAATCTTGATGCAGCTGTTGATCGCTTCAAACTTGCTGGAGCTTCAGAGACTGACATTTCCATGGTTCTGAAGAATCATTTCTCCAATGGAGATGCAATAGAGGGAGATGAAAAGAAGAAACAGAATGGATGTTCTGGTGGTACTGATGAAGCTGATAACAAAAATGTGGCCAGTCGAGTATCACAGAATTAATGTCCGCATATTTAATGTCCACAGCGGCTTCAATGGATATTAACATGCATCCACAAATCACAAGCAGGTGCTTGGAAACGAAATTGCATTTTGCCTCAACTAAGGATGGCTTGCCTTCAGGAATTGAAAAATTTTCGGTGCCAATATTAAGAAGTGTGTAATCAAAAGATTTTAGATTTAGGGTCTCCCAGTTTATCTTCAGGGTGACAGTCTGCGAAATTGTTTGCAATACTGATGAGTTTCTTATAAACAGTTTTATGTACTTTAGGTTCTGATTTTTGGCTTTGCAGCCCCATATTTGTTTTAATGCGATTTATAACTGTCATGCTTGATGTTTTAAAGGGTATGGCATATTCATTGTTAAGAGTAGATGTTGCATTTCCTTTAACCCGTTTTATATTTGCCAAACTTTTGGCTATTACTTGAGAGTTGGAATTATCTCCCCTTCTCTTGGGATGCAGCAGGTTAATTCTCAATATGGGATGTGTACTATTATGAGGCCATTGTAGAAGACTGAGCTGAAGCAGAAAGAAACGGCTGTTTTTTTGTCTAGTTAAAATGATTTTATGCTTTTAAGTGTGGTGGAGTTGATGTGACGGTGTGAATTTTCTGCAAAATTTTGACTCACATGGGGGCAATGCTCTACCCTTGAGAAAAAGTTTGATAAATTGATTTGACTGCCTTCTCATTGGTCTTGACATGGGCCACATGGCTCATATCATCCTCCTAGTACACCAGAATATTCATTGCGTCAGTCCCCAAGTCCACTAGTTGCAGACTCAATTAGAGGAAACGTTACACCCAGATAACATAACAAAGTCGACCATGTGGCTCCGATCCGATGGTACACGTGGATTTAAACATGTGAATTCTATGTGGGAGTAATAGTAACTTTACTTCTCACTGTTCTAACTGTTGATGACCAATCTTGTATTGGCTATATTCTTCCATCTTTCCACCATCTGTACTCAACTCAATTAAGGGTGTGTTTCACAAGTGGTGACTAATTGTAACTGAGGTTGATGGTTCAGCACATCATTCAAAGGCATTCTGTGCTGTCCAGTTAATATAAACATTTATAAAATACAATAATACATAAGCATTATTGTCCATTCAGTCTCCATTTTTCATTTTTTTAATACCATCAGAATTGAGGTTACCAGAATCTGTGGTCCTCCCTTTTGTGGGAGAGGATAACTGTAACAGGAGCATTAGTGGATTCATAATTGAGGATATTTTTTTTTTCTCTCTTTATCTCTTTCTTTTAAATGGCCAATTGTGTGCCTCTCTAATGATATATAGTAACATCACTTTTTGATGAATTATGATAGCCTGGTGGAGTGGATCTTACGCAAATTTTAATGAGTGGAGTTCTATAGATTTTCCACTGGAAATAAATCTACTGAGATTACATATTTGTGGATTACAATTAGAGGTTATGAAGTCATGTTTATGGATTATAATTTTGAGAAATTGCTTCAAAAAATGAAACCCAGTTCAAAAAATGAGGGGTCCAAAGAGAAGCCCCACAAGCACAGCAGAAAGAATAAAAAGAGATTACAGCATAATAAGGCCAAAGAGATAGAATAATATTAAGATAGTTTGATATAAAGGCGATTCATGTTGGTCACTTTCTACATTAAGTAATTTATCAGCACCACAACAACTAGACTTGACTCTACAGAAGAGCCCTATTAGTCCAACCTTTCGGCTTATTTCAAACTATATGTTCCAAGCTAAGCCAACACACTCTTAAGCAACTACAAAAGCAAAACTTAAAATAATTAATTAAACAACTAATCCCCAACAATGAACTCAAAACACTGAGACTCCATCAGTAGTAGACTATACTTTTATTGACAGAACACTTTCTGAGTCATTTGGAGGGACTTAAACAGTTGCAATAGGGCCCAACTTGACAGTGGACTCCATAGCCTTCATGGCTTCGAATCTGGGTTCCTTGGCCTGGAACTTGAGTCCCGCATAGAGTTTCATGTAGTCCTCGAACACAAATTTCGGATAGAGTTGGATGTCTTCAGCTTCTTTCTCAACCAATGCAGGTGCTGGGTAGATCACAGCATCACTTCCTGGGTTGTAAAATGAAGCTATAGACATTCTGTTGCCATCAGGTTGAGCTAACACACGGTGCATGACACTCTTGTACTTGCCATTTGTAATGACCTGTGTTAAAAAGATCAGGACTTTATTATAAAACTCAACTGAAAAAGAAGAGAATTTTGAGCGGTGGCCATGTGGGTTGATGCTAATCATTAAGGAATCTAGGCTTCAACATATCAAAAATCTAGATGTGTACATATTGGGATAATATTTTAATACCAAATCTTAAACATATACAGAATATTTTAATTCTTGAAGTGAGTGAGTAAGTACCTCAAGCTGGTCACCAAGGTTGATGACAAGGGAGTGTTTCATGGGTGGGACATCGACCCATTGGCCATCTTTGAGGAGCTGGAGGCCACTCACTTTGTCATCCTGGAAGAGGAGGATGAGGCCACCAGCATCAGTATGGGCCCTGAGTCCCTTGATCAGATCTGGTTTGGGACATGGCGGGTAGTTGCTGACCTTGGTGCCGAAGGTTGGTGATCCTTTGCACCCATAAAAGGCCTTTTTAAAGTATCCCTTCTCCAGCCCCAGATTCTCACACAGCAAATCCAAAAGTTGCTCAGCTAGTTTCTCCACTTCAAGAGCAAACTCCTTCATTGCCTTCCTGTAAAAAAAAAAAATACTGAGTTGAGTTAAGACACATGATGAGGCTATTTTTGCTTAAGAATATTGTGAGTAAGAGTGACCTGTAATCTTCTTCAAGGTCAGGGATTTCAGAAATGTTTGATTCAGGAAGGTGGCGCAGGAAGAAAGTGCTTTCCCAGTCTAAGTCACTGACTTCAGACTGAACAGCTTCCAGGCCCTTACTGGCCACCATTTCCTTGACATTTGCAAAATCCTTGACTTTTATTAGTACTGTCACTAAGAGTGAAAGAGTCTAACCAATGCTGTGATTAGTATTAGTCTTTTGATCTGTGTACTACAGGTTGATCATGAATGTTTGAAAAGTATTTTCTCTTTTGATTGTTTGTCAGCTTCTGGAAATAGATCTCCATGGTTACACGTTATAAAAATGAATTTGTACCAACTTTTGGAGGGGCAGAGCTATGCTGTGAAAACATATGAAGAGATTGAATATGCTCGTTAGTTTTTGCAGTATCATGATAAATGACCTCTTCTTCTATTTGTGACTTGTTGGCTTTTGGTGTGATATGGTAATACTACCCTTATAAGAACATACAAAGTCATACAAAGAGTCAAATCCAACCCTTGAAAGAAGGGAAAAAGAGAGGAAAGAGGCAATCATGAATTTCAAGGGTTGATTTGACTCTTGTATGATTCTTTTATACCTCTTTGTAAGTTAGTATTAGTGGTGTTTTTTAGAAGCTCCCAATATTATTGCCACCGGGTTGTTTCTTTCTGCCAGTAGTAATGGATTCTGGTGGAATAAGTAGTTGGTTGATTATTAAACATTAGGCATCCAAAATGCCATTTTCTTCAGCACATTGTAAGTTTTAACCAATGTGAACAGGAGCCTTTTGTAAACATTCCGGAGGAAACAATTCGTGAAGCATTGACAGTACTCCTAGGTACCATTAACACTTGAACTTCAAGATTACTCATGAATATTTCTCTCTTTTTCCAATCTGCTATTTATGTTATTGGCACCAGATACAGGAACACCCTATCCTAATTCATTGCAAACGAGGGAAGGTACTTCAGCTATGCCATGTTCTTTTCACATTATAACTAAACTCAGTAGTTTGAATATTTCCACCAATTAGTCTGTGAATGTGTTATCCGCATCGCACTGGGTGTCTTGTGGGTTGCTTAAGAAAACTGCAAAAATGGTGCTTGACTTCCATTTTGATGAGTACCAGAGGTTGCTGCTGCTAAAGCTAGGCTATCAGACCAGAGGTTCATGGATTGTTCGATGTTTCCACTTGAAGAACATGCCATGTCATTTTCTTGTTTGAAGAGATAACAAAGATATCGATACGTGAGAGGTTTTTTTCTCCCCCCCCCGAATCGAAGAGATGGGTTTTAGAAATCGTTCTTTAGCTAATACAACTGGTTGTTTATTTCTTTCTCTCATTTAACAAGTTTAAGCTTTGCAGAGATCTCATTTTTGTTTTTGAAAAAAAAAAGTTTGAATGTGGACGAGCAACAATCGAATCGTCAATCAAGAAGTGACGACTGAACGATATCTCGGCCGTTGACTTTGTTGTACCTCACCGTTCTTCCAAATGAGAGACCCACAACTGTCCTCCATTTACGATATAGAACTGAGGTTTTGATTTGATCTAAAATTTTTCTTCAGAAAAAGATGAAACCAAATCAAGGAATTTCCATAAAAAAACTTGCCAGTACAAAAAATAAAAAAAAATACTATAAACGAAACTCAAAGAAGCCTATTGCAAAATTAGCCACAACTTCCACCACCGTGCTGTGCTTTAGAATTTGGGTTGAGCAGGGAATTTATAGAGTTTTCCCAGGACAAACCCTAGAGACTTTTAATTTACCGAAGCACCCTTGACAGCTCTGGGCTTTTAATAAGCCCTTAACTTGAAATTGGGCCTCCAACTTTGCCCATTACGTTAATTTAATGAGAAGTGACTTTAGCCATTTTTAATTAATCTAATCCCATTATTAAGTATACCTATTTATATTTTAAATATAATTTTCTTTTAAAATCTAATTTAATACCATAATTATTTTTTATTAAACAGGTTTTTTTCTTACATCAAGACTATTATTTACCGATTTTATAGGCTGACTCTCTATCTGACTAACAAAGAGTGTGATGTGGTCATATGATTACTCCTCATGTCACACTCTACATGGTTAGGAGAATCGATAAGTATAGTATTATCCTTTTCTTTATCTCATTTTCTAATTTTGAGATTTAATATCTTTTAGATTATTTTGTTTGAATTCAATTATAAAGATCCATTGAATATAACGATAGTAATATAAGATGATATATATATATATATATATATTATATTTTTTTTTTTTTTTTTCTTGCTTTCTTTCTTTCTTTCAAGTTTTCTAAACCTAGCGTAGTAGAGATAATATTTAAAATTTTAAAAGAATTTAAAAAGCAGTCAAATAAATAAAATAGTTTTTATAATATAGAAATCATTTATCTGTCACACCACGGCAGGAAAATCTGCATTTATATTTAAGAAGATCCTGGTGGCCCATGCATAAGCTGATGAATATACACATTTTGAAACGTCTTAATCAATGATTGATGAAAATAGTCTACATCAAACGGATGAGAATGACTTTGACCTAAAGATTAGAAATCCATTAAGGTAGTGGATTTATCTAGGTTCCCACTCCCCAAAACCCCATCTTCCATTTCTACTCTCTGAGAGCCCAACTTTTCTCCAATTCCATCTTGTCCTTTCATATTCAGCTCTTGAAACTTCACGTGGCATCACCCAATTCTCGATCTTCAAAGTAAAGCTAAAAGTTTTAAGCTTTGTAATTTGTAATGTACGTCCTTTACTCTCTCTTCTCTTTTTTTCTTCCATCTTTTTGTTCATAAGGTAAAAAAATTTCCTTCAAAACAATTGAAAGATTGTTTGTTTATCTTATTTTTTTGGATAGAAGGTTATTTGTGAGATATAATTGAGGGGTTGTTTGAGAGAATATAAAGTTTTTGTGTTATATGGGAATCTGGAGGAGAAGGAAGAAGGGCGGTTCAAACTCAAACCAAGTTTCAGTTGATAATTCAAATGCAAATGCTAACGGTGGTGGTTGATTTGGACTCTTCAATATTTTTGAAGAGGCCCATGAGCTTAAAGAGGAAGGTAACAAGAGGTTTCAAAGTAAGGATTATGTGGGTGCTCTTGAACAATTGAAATGCTCTTAGGCTTACTCCAAAAACCACCCTGACCGGGCTGTGTTTCATAGCAATAGGGCTGCTTGTTTGATGCAAATGAAACCTATAATTATGAACTGTGTTGCTGAGTGTACTAGGGCACTTCAGGTTCAGCCTAGGTTTGTTCGAGCTCTTCTTAGGAGGGCTAGGGCTTTGGAGGCCGTAGGGAGAATGAAATGGCGATGCAGGATGTTCAGGTGTTGTTAGGGCTGACCCAAATCACCGGGATGCTTTAGAGATTGGTCGACGTTAAGACTGCATTGGGACCCTCGCCAGGAGGCTCAGCAGGACCTCCAAGCCGCCCATCCCTGCTGCCTTGGAGCTTCTGCTGTTCGTGGTGCCCCAATTGCGGGCCTTGGCCTTGTTTACCTGCTCGTCCAGTTGCAAAAAGGCTGCAGCTTCACCGGGTCAGTTGTATCTCCTACTAATAAGCTGGAGAAGCCCCAAATCAATTTGGCTACTGAAAATGGTTCTGAACCAAAGTCCAAATGCCAAAGCTTGTGTTGAAGCCGTCAAATGGTTCTCAAAGCTTCTGGCAATCCAGGTAGATACCATAGAGGCAGTCTCTATCTTCTCTGTGCAATTGCGTACCCGTGGACAGGCGTTGGAGGCCACAATTAGGTGGAGGCCATTGAAGCTTGTTTATGATCATGACATAAGACTTGCCCAAGATGCCTGAATTGCAGTTTCAAAGTGTTAAGAGAGTTTGTGAGCACGCTTTTTCCTTCATCGAACTCCGTTTTGGTCAAGTACAAGGATAATGATGGAGACTTGGTAACTATTACCTGTACGGGAACTCAGCTGGCAGAGGCCTCTGTAGACAGTCTTATGACAAAAGAGCCAGAACTGACATATCTGAATCATTTGGATGTTGAGATTGCATATTGTGGAGGTAAGTCCAAGCAAGAGCCACCTTGCTGGAAGAAGAGAGATAAACCTCTAGAGAGTGAGGGAACTAAGGAGATGAGGTGGGTCTCATTCGTCTCTTGGTGAGTCTGTTCTTGAAGCTGCTGATACTGAGATTGACAAGCAGTGATAGAAGCTCCCAGAGAAATCAGGAGTTTCAGAAGATCCTAGAACAAGGAAGTGGAGATGGATTGTTGTTTTTGAGTTTGCTCAACTGTTCCGCACCCTTGTTGGTATTGACCCTGATGCTCATATGATTTGCATGAGCTTGGCATGAGCTATGCTCAGAGGCTCTGAGGAGACAGTTACCAGTGAAGAAGCTCAAAGCCTATTTGACAAGGCTGCCTTAAAGTTTCAGGAGGTGGCTGCTTTGGCTTTCTTCAATTGGGGAAATGTTCATATGTGTGCGGCAAGAAACGAATCCCCTTAGATGAGTCTGCTGGAAAGGATGTTGTACAGCACAGCTTCAAACGGCTTATGACTGGGTTAAGGAAAAATATCTTTTGGCCAAAGAGAAGTATGAGGAGGCACTTTGTCAACACTGACTTTTATGAGGGTCTCCTGCATTGGGCCAACAGCATTTGAAATGGCCAAACTTCATTGGTCTTTTGCACTTGCTAAGAAAATAGATCTTTCAGGGTGGTGTGCTGCTGAGACACTTCAACTTTTTGATAGTGCAGAGGAGAGATGAAAGCTGCAACTGAAATGTGGGAGAAGCTAGAGAGCAGAGAGCCCTTGAGCTAAAAGATCCAAATGCAAGCAGAAGATGAATTTTCAAAGGGAGGAAGAAACAAGGAAGTGGTCCTGATGGAGAGCCCTCAGGAAGCGGTGGTCAGAACGAGCTTTCAGCTGATGAAGCTGCAGAACAAGCTGCTGTTATGAGATCACAGATACACCTTTTCTGGGGTACATGCTTTTTGAACGATCCCAATTTGAATGCAAATTAGGGATGGGTGTTTGGAGAAAAATCTTGATGCAGCTGTTGATCGCTTCAAACTTGCTGGAGCTTCAGAGCCTGACATTTCCATGGTTCTGAAGAATCATTTCTCCAATGGAGATGCAATAGAGGGAGATGAAAG